CTCAGCCCGGCCTCTCAGCTTCGGTCATAAAAGAAAGTTCCGCTTTCCCTCGCTCCCTCTCTCGCGGCTCGGTTATTATTTCACGGCTGGAAATCTGATTAAATCGGTTTCAGAAGCCGGTGCCGCGCTCATCCTCTTCAAGGCTCTTTTAGTATGAAAGAGAAAGAGAGAGAGAGAGCGAGAGAGAGTGAGTGAGAGAGAAACCATTCGAAAAAGAGACAGAGGTAAGTCAGTGACTTCACTCCCACCCCTCGCCCTGCCCAGGCGCATCGCAGACTGGGTTGAGGGATCAGGAACCCGTCTTGACTGGGTGGTGTGGGCGAGTGGGAGGGAATAGGGGAGGCGGATTGGCTCGGGCAGGCAAAAAAAGCAGGGAGGTTTTCCCACCCGGGAAAGGGATCGCTCTTCCCTGCTGAATTTTCTCTGCCAGGAGTGTTCTGCGGATGATGCCCAGGGCAATGGCCCTTTGCGCCCTGACTCGGCCGTCCGAACTCAGGCGGGACTTCTCCCCACGGGCACAGGATCGGCTGCGGGACGGGCGGGTCTCTTTCGCCAAAGAGATCCAAATGGCAGGGCGATGCCCACGGGTGATGCCCGTGGTGGGAACGGGAGACCATTGGGTATGGATGGCTGGCGAAGGCGCGAAATACAGGACAGGCAGTTTCGCCTGAGGACGAGGGATAAGCACGCGGATCCCATTCTGCACGGGAGGATCTCAGCCTCGCGTCTTTGGCTCTTCAGATCTGAGCCGCTGCTAAAAGGGGGCGAAGAGACAGTGAGGTATAATGGCCACAGTTCCGAAAAGTGGACCTGACAAATCTGATTTGAGCGCTCCTGGGAATAAATGGGGAAAGTTCCTTTTGTCACTTCTTGAGGAAGCGGAGGGGGGTACAAATGTATGTGCCTGCAGTCCTATACAGACGTACTCTTAAGTAACCCTTTAAAAAATCAGTGGGGCTCACTTCTGGATAAATACGCATTGGATTGTGCGCCACGAATAACACGTTACCATGTGCACGGCGCTGTACACAGGGGCAACCCATTCAGGAAATTGACTTCAATTTGGAGTAAAACTTTCCCAACTAAAAATCAAACGCTCCCCTCGCCTTGCAGATCACGCTTGAGAACTTGTTCTAAAATACCCCCTCGGCTTCCTCCCGCAGCTTTTCGAGCAGGTTGCATGTTTTTTTTTCCCTTTTCTGGTGGCTCGCTCACTTCCCCTTCCTTTGCCATTTGCCTAATAACGTCGCGTGTGCGGCATTTTATGAATGAAATGAATTAGTACTACAGGGGAAGATCGCGTGGTGTGGCGCAGCGGGAAGGGGGGGCGGCAAATGGCAAATAAAACAGAAGTAGAATCGTAGGTCTGAGATTGATTAGTTTCAGAATCCCATCATCCTTCGCCCTGGTCGTGGCTGTCGGTCAGCTTGGGCGGGAAGAGGAAGGATGTCTAGAAACGGGACTCTTAGTGTGCGTTTTCCTCTTTTTAGTTTCTTCTCTGCAAAGTAGAGGCGGTTGGCGAAGTTTTGGGAAAGAGAGTGCAGGACTCTTTCGTCATGCGGTGATGTCCTAGAATGATGCAGCCTGCCCAAGCCAGGTTTCTAAGTCTTCCAGCGAAGCTCCTGCAAATGCAGAAATTAAATCCCCGGGTTTGACTTTTCTTGTTCTTGTTCTTCTATCTAGTATAGCCTTCTGGAAGCAAGCCGCAAGCTACTTTCTTCACAGGATCCCCCCACCCCACCCCCGGGCCCCTTCAGCTCATACAGACTTTTTGCTGTTTCTTTATGCCTGGTTTGATGTGCTCAAAGGCAATGATAATAATATCTTTAAAAAATTTCCCTGTGCTTCTAAATTCACACACGTCCGAGCAACTGCAGCTGAGGAGAACCCGTCCGAGGAAACAGGCGCAGTTTTTAAAAACTTCATTAAGGCACAAGCCATTGCGGTGGGTTTTACTGGTGAATTAAAGTGCGTAAGGTCGGGCTGCGCGTTTACTCCCTTGTAAAATACTTCTAGCACTGCAGCCCTAGCTGTAAGAGTGATTTGCCATGCCTTCTCCACGGCAATATAACTAACAAAACAGATCTTTAGAAGTGTCTTTTATATATATATAAAAAAGACACTTCTAAAGATCTGTTTTGTTAGTCGGGTCGAGAGGCATGCTTTTCAGCTTTATAACAGTTTCTCCCTCAGACAGAGAGGGAGAGTTCCGTGTAACACGAAAGTTGGCTACTCTGCCCAGCATTCTTGGACCACTACAAGTAAGCGATGCCCGCCGTTGAAGTTTTAAAAACAAACAAACAAACAAATAATCCGTGACATTTCTTAATCCCTTCTGTTGCAGTCGGGAGTTCTCCCATACTGTATTTTTTTTCCCCTGACAAGCAACCCTAATGCCTGCCAAAGCAGAACCGTCAGTCTGGTGGCATCACTGAGAGGAACAGACTTTTGTCATGAGAATCCGTGGGCCACGGAGCTGCTCATTTCGTCAGATGCTCTATCCCACAAAAACCCATGATGACGTGATGATATATCTGTTCATCATCAAAGCAAAGTGGAAGTCATATTGCTTCCTCTTGATAGCCAAAAGGGCAACACCAATATGTACTGCCCCTGGCAGTATTTGCTACTACATAGTAAATGTACCAAGTATTTGCTAGTTGTTAGTAAATTGTACAAATGCTAATTAGCTTTTTAAAAATTGCTCCAGAATATTAAACAAGAAATTATCTGGGGAAAGAACATGATTCACCTGTGGAGTTAGATGTAGACTTTGTTAGACTTTGCTACTCTTACCCCTCCTTCCCCTCTCACCTCCAACTTTCAGCACGGGGAGGTGAGTTATAACCTACTAGTTGCCAAGGTGAAAGCAAAAAATGAGTAAATCCCTGAACAAGACAGCTGAAGTGTTATTGGGGATAAATCCCAAAGATGGAGATTGGAAATCTTCCTCATCCACACAGGTCCCAAGTGGTACTGCAAGTAGTATCAATAGCATAGGAACATGTTGAAAGCTAATATTAACTTTAAGGCCCCTCCAGTCCTGCTCTTAAGTCCAAATTGCTTTCCCACAAACCAGTCTTGGGATTTTCTGTCCACCCACACCCACTTGTTCTGATAAGTTGTGAAGGGCAAGAAAAGTGAGCTGATTAACATATTTTGATAATGTTTTTCACATGTCGTTCCATGTACATGCTAAGTACTTGCCAGTCGACCAGCTAATGAACAGGGATAGTTCAGAAACAGACGAGAACGATAGAAGGGTGGTGGCGGACGAGATAAATCCTTGTCCCTGTCCAGATTCTACTTTCTAATAATGAGGTAGATCCTAAGGGCGCACGTATGTGCCTCTCTACTCTGGCAGTGCTTTCGGAGCCATCTAAAACAGCCCCTCACTGCTTCAGTAGGATGTGGCCGGTGTCTTTCCAAGGAGATTAGATAAATCTGTGGCATGGACGTTTATCAATGACTATTAATCATGACAGGAAAATATTTTTATTCTTATCTGCCATCAAGTGGTTTCTTCCTCATAGTGACCCTCACAGAGTTTTCAAGGTGTGCGAGAGTTTGGAGGACTAGTTTCCCATTGCTATACACTCAGCAAGTTTCCACTGCTGAACAGGTAGGTGTCTGAATCTTGGTCACTTGTGTCCGAGTTCCACACCGAATCCATTTTGACACACCTTAGCTATATAGAACCTCCACTTTCAGAGGCACTGTATCTTCCTGACTATCAGTTATTTGGGACAAATCTTGGGAGAAAACATTCACTTGCATATCTTCCTAACAGGCTCCCTGGAAGCATGTGTTTAATGGCTGCTGTGGGAAACAGAAGGATGCTCTATGGTGGCTGTGACCCAGCAGAACCGTTCTTAGGTTCTCACTCAGGTGTGGATGATTACCATGGGGAAAAAGTAATGTGTGCATCAAGTCCATAGGCTTGCCCGTCTGTTATCACCAAATCTTTTCTAGCATTTATTAGAAAATGGGCTGGGTGCTTGTTTGTTCACAGACAAAGCAAAAATCCGTAGCTGCGTTTTGAAACGAGGCTAAATCACTAGGGACTTGCTCGCGTTGCCTATTGCAAAGGCAAGGTGAGACCAAATGGCCCAACTGTTGAATTTCAAGAACTTTTTTGTCAGGCAAAAAATGGACAAAATTAATCCCGGTCCATTTTAGAAGTTAAAATTGAGAACCTCTGGAGGGCAAAAGAACCCCCCGTTGGATTGTGGATTCAGGTAATTTGAAAGGAGAATGTGGCTGCGTGGCGTTCACAAAAGTGATACAGGGAAGGAAGCAGATGCAGGTTTAAATCATCTTCTCAAAGGGACTGGTTTTGTGAGCACTGAATGGTAAACAGTCCGCGGTGAAGGAGACTGACTGAATCCTCGCTCCGTCAGACCAATTGCCGCTACAAATCCAATTTCATAGATCGAAAAACGGCGTAGAAATGTAAGTCGCCCATAGAACTCAGTATTTCTCCTCTGATCCAGTTATACGTGTCAAAGCCTATAACAAACACCTTTTCTAGCCTAAGGTGGCCCCCATCCAGGGCCGGTTTGTTTCTTCTCCTGTGACCTGCGCTGCGCAGCCTCTTACTTTTGACTGGCAGAAGTTTTCTTGATGTGTAGCGTCTGTCTAGGAGGTTATTTACGGTGTTTGGCTTCGCGGTCCGATCGACGGCGAGCAACTGCGCCTGGGTTTATAAACGATGCTTTTATACGCGCGGCCGATCTTAGGGGAGGAAAACAAAGACGTTTTCAAAGCATTGAATCGCCCACTGAAAGGGATTTGCTTTGTTTCGAAATCTACACACGCCCCCTTTCCGCGTTTGTTGCTATATAAATACCTGCAGGTGTGTTTACTATTCATGCATACACAGGAAAGGCTGAGCGCATCTTCCCGCTGTTTGCTCAAAGCTGGGGCGAGCCGCGCTCCCCAGGCTGGCCTCGCCACCTCGGCCGGCGGCGCGCCAACGCATTGCCAAGTGGCTGGTGGTCGCGCAGGCTGACTGGAAGAGGGCGCAAGACAGAGCAGCGCCTGGGAAGTTTACAGGGAATCCCTTTCCTTTGGCTTCCGTTGGCCCTACTCTCAAGTGCGATGGTGAAGAGGGGTGTGTGTGTGTGTGTGTGTCAGATCTTTGACAGGGACAGGCCAGTAAGTAGGGCGACGTGTGCCAGGGAAGGACAGAGGTTCAGGCACCATTTCAGCCAGACAGTAGAGCTCGCTTGCCAAAAGGACTGGCAGGGATTTCTGAGAAACTAAAGAAGATCGGGCTGAAGCAATCGGCTCCTCCTGTACCTGTTTACTCAGAAACAAGGCCAACGAGGCCCGGGGCTCTGCTTGAAGTGAAACGCCATCATTCCCAAGAGGCGGAAAGGATGGCCTTTCGCTTCAAGCAGAGGAAGGGGCGCTAAATCCACGTGTTGGTAGAGTATACAGATGGCAATGGCCAAGGCGAGCCTGTCTGGGCGCCTTTTCTTGGCAGGTAGGGTTCACGCTGCCCGGTAAAACGTGCTCAAGGACCACAGGAAGGCGCCTGAGGTGCCCCAGGTCCCTGCAGGGGATGTAAGAGAGTGTAGTTTTAGCAAGGAGGCTGAAGGGCCACGGACTCCGCGCCCCGCTGAGGGCAATCCCCCCGCCAGCCGAGCCGGCCCCCCTCCAGGCACGCCACCGGGCTCGCTGAAGGGCAAGGGAGTCGCAAGAGTGAGCTCCCGAGGTGCACCGCTGAGGCGGCGAGGGAGGAGGCCTGTGGGTGGCCGCCGCGAGGTGACGTCCCGTCCTCTCCTGGGTGCTGGGTGCGTGCTGGGGTGTGTGAGGGCGGGAATGACAGCAGCAGCAGGCACCCGGGAGGCGTTGGCGGCTGAATGTGAGGAGTTTCCCGCGGAGCCGTGCGCGGGGGTGGGTTGGGGGGGGAGGAAAGGGGAGGTCGCGACAGTGTTGGCGGCTGTTTTTTGAACTGCCTGAGAGGAGAGGGCGAGAGAGAGAAGGGGGAGGAAGACGGCGACTGGAGTGCAAGGTGCGACTGCGAGCGGACGTTTGAGAGAGACACTGGATTCTTGGACTAGTGTGAGGAAGGGTCGAAGGTGTACACGTGTGTGAGAGAGAGAGAGAAAGAGAGAGAGCGAAAGGGGGGAGAAGGAAGGTGGCTGGCTGGCTGTGTGAGGTGCGGTGTGTGCTGGTGCACGTTGCAGAAGTGGAATATCTGGGGAAAGCGGCTAAAGCAACAGTGAACTTTGAAGAGACGGAGAGGGACGTTGTCGATGGGACCGCACGAGGAGAGACCGCCGGCGCTTTTTTTTTGCCACGGGGGCAGGGGTTGGGGGGCCGTATTCTGCAGAAACGGCGCAGGAGCGAAACCAGCTCCTCTTGGTCGGCGCGGTAGAGCAGAGGGCTCCTGAGAGCGAGGGAAAGGGGAGAGAGGCGACGTCGCGCAGGTTATGGAGGAAGGGGCTGAGAAACGCTCCCTCCCTGTCGGTGGAGCCCCTGCGGGCACTCATCGCAGCAGCTCAGAGATGGAGACGCACGAAAGTGCGGGCCCCAGTCCCGCAGGTAGACAAGAGGGAGCAGAAATGGCCTCCAAAGAGCGGAGGGTCGGCGGATTTGCTGTTCTGGTTCTTGTTGCTTCATCTTCCCTCGGGCGTTTGCTCGCCGGCTTGGCTTTGGACGCAGCAGCTTCGAAAGTCAGCTGTCGCATCTAAACCAGCTTCCAAGAGTCTTCAGTAGATTTCTCGAGACCTGAATGTGGGGCCCGGGGCTTGTTGCCTCAGGTGTCCTAAAGTGGAAGACGTTTCTCCCGCAGAGGGTGAGGCAACATGCGACCAGTGCGAACGGTAGAGTTCGAGGAGAGTGTGTCTCTGTGTGTGTGTGTGCGCGCGCGCGCGCGCGCCTGAGAGAGAGAGGGGGGAACACAGCGGCCCGCAGAGGGTGAGGCAACATGCGACCAGGGCGGGTAGAGCAAGAAGAGTTCGAGGAGAGTGTGTCTCTGTGCGTGTGTGTGCGCGCGCGCGTGCCTGAGAGAGAGGGGGGAACACAGCGAGTGTGCGAGAGAAACAGCGTGAGTGGAGAGAAGAATTTTCTCGAGAGATGCACCGACTTCTCTTTCCCATAGACTTGCATCCTTTGATGCAAGAAGCGTCTTTGATGCAAAGAGTGCGTTTTTGTGCAGGCAGGGCTGGGATGCGCAAAAGGACCAGCACGGGTGCCTTCAGAGTGAGGGAATTTCTGTGGACCTCACGCGCGCCTCTTTCTCTTCCCCCTACCCCGTATTTGTGTGTGTGTGTGTGTGTGTGTGCCTGCGCGCGCGCGCTCGAGCGCTGTTACTGCGCGCGTGACTGAGGTGGGGGGAACTCACCGTGCTCTCTTCCTCGGTTCAGCAGCGGTGGCGGCGCGGGCGGAGGGGCGCCTGGCATGAACTTGGACGGTGGCGGCAGGACGACCAGCACCAGCACGGGCATCCACAGCATCCGCGAAGGCGGCGGCGGCGGCGGCATGAGCTCGGTGAGCTGCGGCAACGGGAAACTCCGGCAATGGCTGATTGAGCAGATTGACAGCAACAAGTACCCGGGCCTGGTGTGGGAAAACGAAGAGAAGAGCATCTTTCGCATCCCCTGGAAGCATGCGGGCAAACAGGACTACAACCGCGAGGAGGACGCCGCTCTTTTCAAGGTACTGTCCGGCCCCAAAGTGGGAATGGAAAGCGGGCTGGGACACCAGCCTACCGTGAAGGGGGCATTGGTTCCAGAAGTTTTGAGCGTGAGGGCCGCGGAAGCACCTCTCCCATCCTGTGGGTATGAGATCCATGCATATGTGAAGCAGAGTTTAACTCTCGAATCCTGCATACCACCGGCAGGACTGCTGGATAGCTCAGTGGTTTAGGTTCAGAGGTTGAGAGTTCAATTCCCCACTGTGCCTCCTTGAGAGAGGCTGGACTTGATGTTCTATAGGATCCCTTCCAGCTCTGCAGTTCAAAGGTTCCAAGGATCCAACAATCTGCCTGGAAAAAGCATGGTCCTTCTTTTGGATGTGTTCCTGTGCACACTAAGCGTACAAAAGGGAAGTTACAAAGGAAGAAAACAAATGAGTTGGTCTTTCACAAAGAGACGAGTGTACTATTTAGACACTCACACTGTTGGCAATATTGCATGTATTTTTCCACTTGGTGTGTGTCTTGCATTGTGGATGATCACAGCTGCACTCACAGTAATAGGGAGGTATAAGTTTGCTGTTCATAAGAATACTTAAACATCAGGGATGTTACTTGAAAATCAGGGTTGGTTTACACACTCATGTTCACCACATATAACAAAGAGTCTTGTGATACATTAAAGACTTGATAAGTTTTGTTTGGGATATACATTTGTGGGTGGAAGTCCACTTTTTCTGCTGCAGTCTCTTTTGAGAGGGACAGCCTAGGAAAGCTTACACCCAAATCAATTTGTTTGTCTTTAAGGCATCACAAGACTGTTAATTTTGCTTCAGCTGACTCCAACAAGACTACACCCTCTGGAAGTTCATCATGTAGGGTGTATAATTTGAAACATAGCTCTTTACAGTGGAAATCATTCTTGCATCTAGAAGTGGACATCCATAAGGATGAAGTCCATGTACATAGGGTTACCTATTTTATCTTCACGACAGTCAGAAAGGTAGATAGGACACTGATAAAGGCAGTCAAGAACACCCAGCAAATTTAATGACTAATTTGAGATTTGAATCCATGAGTGTATTGCCAACAGGCCATTGTTATAACAATTTCACAGTCCTTTGACTGACACGCCTCCATCCTCCATTCTTTGGAATCCTGGGATCTGTAGTTTGCTAAGGTTCTTAGAAGACTCTGCTGTAGTACAGGGGATGCACTGGAGCCCTATAGCAGAGAAATCTACTGTATGTTATGTCACCAAACTGCAAAAGCCAGGATTCTGGAGACCGGAGCCATGGAAGTTAAAAGTGGATCAAATTGCTGTAACTAGTAGTGCAGATACACTCCAGGTCTTCTCAATCCAGCTCTAGACTTTGTCCCTGTCAGACCCAGTTTACATGCTCCTCATTCAAGATAGGGGCAAGCTATAAGTTTGGCAAATTAGAGTATGGGGTCCCCCTTCCTATTGTACTTTTTATTTTTCAGTGGTGACCAGTTTGGGGGTTCATGTGGGCACTGGGAAGGGCTGAATGCGGTGGTAGTTTAGGCCGAACCTGGATATATATACAGTATATATATATTTCCCACTGTTCTTTTTTACTCTCTCTCTCTGATCATTTATGGAAGGTTATTGAAATTAATACCATTGCCACAAGTTTCCTACCCTGGTTTAAATAGTTAGGTAAAAGGAGCAAAACCCATGAACAATATGACACTTAATATTCATGAGTCTGATGGTCCTTAGAAGCCAAGAAGCAGCTTGGAGCAAGCAAAAGATGACTCATTGTCTGAAAAATGAAATTAATTTTTTTTAATATCCTGGAGTGCCTCTTCCACACCATTTAAAGTAAAAGATCACTTAAATTATTGAGGGGATGATCCCATCTTTTCTATCCAACTGGCACCCTGAATTAAAATGCCACCCAAGCTGCCTTCCAGTCACACTTGGAAGATTTCTTCCATGCTTCACAATTATCTTTTCCCCCATTTGATTAACTGCCCCAGGGCTTGATGCATTAGGACTGTAATCCTGTTCAGAGTTGCATACACTTACACCCTATAGAGACATCTATGGGACTTGTGTATAATTTTGAACAGAATTGCAGACTTTGCCATTAACTTTAGCAAGCACCATAACTATGTCTTTCAACTCCTTTCATTTGTTGTTAACAAACAACATTACCTGGAGCAATGCTATTTAGTTTCTGCTAGAAAGAATGTAACTAATTACTTTTAATAGTAAGTAAATTTTAAAAGCAGCTCTTTAACACCACTAGTAGAATCCATATGGCACATCTTTTCCCGGTAAGTTTTTCAAGTACAAGGGAAACATTCCAAAACATTTAAAACTAGTGAACCTTGCATGCTAAACTGATATTGCACCATTGCGTTGGAAATAGAAGCGTGTCTCTTGACTTCCAGATCATTCTTACAGTTTACTTCTGGGACATTTCTAGGAATTAGACTGGAATTGGGAGGTTCAGAGGACTTTGCTACTAAATTGCATCAAGGCTTTCCATCCCAGTCCCAGTTGCCCATCCCTTTGAAAGCAAGGTTCAGACAATACAGGAGGGGGTAGCATCCTTGTTTGTAAGTGCACATTGATTAAGAAACAGGAAGGATTCCAGGTTCTGAACTGGAAACCTGACTTCATGGAAAAACATGCATTCGTTATTTCATTCTGTTTTGCAATGGAATAAATGACAAAATCACCAACTATCTATTTACATCTGGTCTAATAGTGACTATGAATTCTAGGTCAGCGCTGGGTTCTTTTCCCTGCTGCATCATTCTACAGGATAGTCCTGTATAGTTAGACTTCAGGTTGAATTACTGCTATGGATGTTTTAATCCTAGAGTGACAAAAGAAAATCCCATGATAGTCCCAGCAAAACCCCTCCCCAAAATCTTCTATGTGGAACACACTTGTCATTATATTATTTAATTTATTGATGGAAATAAGTTCCACAATTTAAAAACACTTTAAAAAGTTTTTTTGTTGTTGTTAATATTTTAGGCATGGGCGTTGTTTAAAGGAAAATTCAGAGAAGGCATAGATAAGCCAGATCCTCCCACATGGAAAACACGTTTGCGCTGTGCTTTAAATAAGAGCAATGACTTTGAAGAACTAGTTGAAAGAAGCCAGCTGGATATATCAGATCCATATAAAGTGTACAGAATAGTACCAGAAGGTGCCAAAAAAGGTAGGGCAACTTTCTTTATACAGAATAAGTGCATTGATTGAGATGGTGCTGGGTGGTGGTGGGATGAACAGTAGTATAATTGTTTCAGGCAATTAAATATGGTAATAGAAAAAATATATATGCTTTTATACAGGGTTACAATGACATAGGAAACACTTGAGCCCTATCCACTCTGTCCTCTCACACAGTTCCAACAATGATGCAGGGAAAGGGTTACAGTTTAATTGCCCCGTCCTTCCACCACATTTCCAGAACCAATCCCTGCAGCCATTCAGGCTGTACATCTCTAGGGGAAGTTTAAGCTGTAGCCATGTAGGATCATTGTGCCATTTAAAACTGGGTGAGCTGCAGAGCCAGGCCACCTGCTGGAAGTGGTGGAACCAAGATGCATCTCTGCTCCCTTCTCTACTTATTTGACTGGAACTGTATGAGGGGAACAAGTTGACAGACCTCGTAAGTTTTTTTAAAAAAATAAGTTAATATTTACTAAATTTTGTAGCCAAATAAATTACATTGTCATAGCAATTCTGCAAATATGTCATCGAGTTCTGGTCACAGATAGTTTAAAAATGAAGAAAGGACAAATCTGACTTCCATTTGTAAAATAAACAAAGAATTTCATGGATGTAAAGTAGTGCATGTAATGTAAAGACCCTGATGTTGGGAAAGTGTGAAGGCAGGAGGAGAAGGGGACGACAGGGGACGAGATGGATGGACAGTGTCATTTTATTTTAAAATGTTTATTTTACCAACATGAATTTGACCCAACTCCGGGAGGCAGTGGAAGACAGGAAGGCCTGGCGTGCTCTGGTCCATGGGGTCACGAAGAGTCTGAGATGACTAAACGGCTAAACAACAACAACAAAGTAGTGCAAAATGTTAAGTGTATCATTTTTCTATGTATCGTAGTTTTCCACAATTCTTCACATCATTCTGCTTTCATTTTTATATGCACAGGGGCAAAACAACTCACTATGGAAGATCCACAAATAATTATGAATAATGCTTACTCTATGAATTCATCATATACTGCACTACAGTCTCAGGTAAGTGTCATTTTAGCATTGTATGTAAAATATGAAACTATACAGATATTTTGGTTGTTTCATACCTTGATCAACAATATGATATGAAGGAAATAGCAAAGAATATCACAGGTTAGGGAGTGTTCTCAAAAGAGTTCATAGTGCTTCAGGGTCAGAAATTTGTAGGAAAATTATTTATACCAGTTCTGTTCCATTTCTGTTCTGCCACTTGGTGTCCCAAAATTAATATTGGTACATCTTTTATAATTACCTCCTCCTGTAATTAAATAAAAGGATTTTTAAAATAGCAATGAATTTGTGCAATAGCATCAATTACATACACAGATTCCACTGGAGGGATCTCTGGTTTTGCATTGTCCAGTTCGTAATGGCAGGACCTACACTCCATCCACAGTACTAGTGCTCTTTATGTGTAAGGACTGTGGCACCTTTGCTTTAAGAACCTATTGTTGTAGAGTTATGATAGAACTGTGGATGAGACCCTGGGGAGCTTATGCCAGAGGAAAAATCAAGAGTAGAGTCAATGCAAGGCAGGTTCACATGTTCATGAGAATTCAAAAGGGGAAATCCAAGCCTGCCATTGATATGAACATGGAGCTTCAGCATCTGGAAAATGTAGAGAACAGGCAAGGAATCTTCATGCCTAAACCATACATTAGATTTCAGTAGAAAAATGTCCTTCTCTCTGTTGTACTCAAGGATAATAAGGTAGTGGGGTTCAGTTTAAGTGAGGCTGGAATCAGCGTGAATTCCAAGAAGGGAGCAGTAGAATCTCACCCTGTTTTGTCTAAATTCTGCTGCAGAATGCAGCAACTGCTGGAATCAGCGTGAATTCCAAGAAGGGAAGCAGTAGAATCTCACCATGTTTTGTCTAAATTCTGCTGGTGCTGCAGAATGCAGCAACGGAGGATGCTGCCCTGTACCCATTCACCTGGGCAAGTTCCTTGAACACCATGTAGTTTTCTTTAAAGTAGATGTATCTATGAGTGTTCTCAATCTGCTAAAGATAGTCAGGCTTCACTCTTGAACATAATAGTAAATACTGACCTGAAAATAAATCTGGAAGCTAGTTAACTGGTCTTGATACATCTGCACTTGGACATTCTGAGAGTGGTATCTGATCAGGTTGTATGGAAAGTTGAACAGGAGTTAGCATTCATTCTCTCTCTGACTATAGCTAAAATATTATGCAATGTTTTGGTGAAACCTATAGGTGCCAAGCTACATGATGCCTCATGATCGTAACTGGAGAGAATATGTTCCAGAGCAGTCTCACCCTGATATCCCGTACCAGTGTGCGGGCATGCCTTTTGCAGCTCGTAACCATCATTGGCAAGGTCCAGCCTGTCAGAATGGTAAGCTATATAGGTAGTCTACATGGGGCTACAGATAGTTTTTATTTACTCTGAGAAAGAAGTCATGGATGGCTCTCCATTGCATACAGTGGATGCATGTAGTTCTGAATTTGAAGCTTTTTAGTAAGTGGATTTCCTCATTAGCTTCAGTGAAGGATACAATTTGATGTATGCATCAGTTTGGGTGCATAATACTTTCCCCTCTATTGAAGTGAATGGGCAGGCTTCAGAAAATGGGAGAATCCTGCGTATGCATTAGAGCTCCTACTGCTGCAAGGAACTATACTATAAAAATGGTGCAACCATATATAAGGACTTCTAATTCTCTGCTGTAAAGGGAAATGTGTATGGTTCATTCTCACTGGAACAAGCGCCATGTATTTGACTTCAAAGTGATTAACTCTGGATTATGTTCTGAGAATCTGTGGCCAAAGTCCTATTAGTTACACTTGCTGACATAACACCACCAGCATAACATTCAGTGGTGAATTGCTACAAGTTAAATATACTTTTTCTATTGAGTCACACAACTACAATGCAACAGGAAATACCTGTGCTAACTTCTTAACTACCAGCAATTTGCTGCTGAATGTTATGCTAATAGTGTTACCCCAGCAGGTGTAACTAACAGGATTTTGGCCAGTGCTGATTAACCAAATACAGTACAATAAACACCTGAAGTAAGAAAACTGCTTTATTGCACTAGAAATTTGGAGAACTTTTACTTTGTAGGTTCAAAAAAGAATTGGTGAGGCAAGCTTGGTAAACAAAGACAGCTTACTGTATTTAGATGAATAAATCAGAACTTTTCAGTGCTGAATTATCTTATTCTTCAGAGCTTTATGAGCTTGAACATCTGCAACAAAACCACTCAAAATTTAATCTTTTATGGGGGGGGGTAGCCACAGTACACCATGGGGGGGTAGTCTTGCTAGCTATTAAACTCTACAGGGGGGAGCTCTCACTGAACTGCTCTTCCCATAGTGCACTAGGGGGATTTCCAGCAAGTGGTGAGACAGAAAGGTGTTCTTTTCTAACCAGTCGATGCACATGGAATGAAGCAAACAATGATGGTAGAAATACTTCTCTTCTGCCTTCTTCTTTTTCCTGTCCTAGTCCCAGAAGCCTGCCTGGGAGAATTCTGAGACTAGAAGTCCTAGAATTCTGAAAATCCCATTCCTAACAGTTGTTTTAAGCACCACTGAAGCAGTGCTTAGCATGAAGAAAGGACAGGACAGGAGTACTAAAATCTATCAGGCATGACCACCGATGCAATAACATTAGTTGTGGAAGTACTAGAATCCCTAACATTATTGGTGCAGCCCCAGTGCAGTGATAAGATCATTACTTAGTACTAGATGCTATAGCTTGAATACACTTTACTTGTACCGAGATAAAGCCATTATAGTTGGTTACCATATTATTCATCCAAGATGCCAATATTTTTAAAAACCGAAGCTCTGCTTAAGGCAGAATGAAAATATTTCTTAAACAGAAGATAAATAAAAGGCATTCAATATAAAAAAGGGTTTTTTTAGGGTGCTGGTTTGCATAGTTCAGAGGGAGGGAAATCTAGGGTTTGGGGATTGCTTGGCAAAAGTGCAAAAATAATTGGGTTTTGTTTGTTAAAAACAGGCTGTCAGGTAACTGGAACCTTTTATGCTTGTGCTCCACCTGAGGCTCAGGTTCCTGGGATCCCAATAGAGCCAAGCATAAGGTCGGGTGAAGGTCTTCCACTGTCAGGTATGTAAACCATTCAATAGTCACAGTGAATTCTTGAAAATTCTCAGAACTTTCAACATATGTCCCTATTTCCTAATTATCACCAAATGAGAACACATTAAATGTTGATTTCCCCCTCATCCACACAGATAAATAACTATTCAATAGCCTTCTTTGTTAACTCACTCCAAAAGACATGGACCTGCTTCTTGGGAGATATCAGGTATTTTTTGTTAAGTTTGGGCCAACAAAGAATATTATACCATAGATAAACCCAGTGCATGAGAGGGCCCACTATGCCCAATAGTGCCTAAACATTTTTTCCAAATAAATTTCTTAGATGCAGTGCAATAAAATCTTATGAATAAACTGAAAAAGAAGTCTCGCTATGTTTCAGGTCTTAAGACCTAGAAAATCAGCAGAGACCCTGGATTTTTGTTTTTCAGGTGGGGATGCCCTTCAAGACTGGCACACATGCCTATATTAGATGTATTTTTCCATCTCATTATTTAATGGACTAAATAAATAATAAATCTGTCCTACTCTATTCATTCCTAAGATGGCCATCATCAGGGGGAGGATTTCTGTGATATTTCCTCTGCAACCTACATTTGAACCCATAAGCAAGTTCAAACATGTTTATGTTTAATTTGGCCTTTCTCACCATATTACTCATAAACATATTCAAGCCCACCTATAAACTCAAACATAGGTTGCTTAAAATATACATAACATGCCATAGAAATCCTCCCCCTAGTCAACACAATCGTATGTACACCTGAATTTAAAAAACATAACAAAACTTCAGTACTGTAGTAACTGATCAAAGTAAAAGTTCTAGAGTGGTTATGAAAGAAATTTAAAAAATGAACTGCCAATGTCATACTGCCTTTCTGCAAATCCGTAGTGAATTGCATCAGCAGTCAAAGTAATCAAGCAGCTGGAGTAACTCCTGTGCAAAATGTTTGCAATGTCTGGGATTGTTTTGTCTAGAAAACGTGGTGGTGGCGGCAAATATTATGAAGCTGTATGAAATTATGCATAGTGTGGAGAAGGTAGATGGAGAGAAGCTTACCCCTGTCCTACAAATCTAGAACCCAAAGAGGTCCTCCACTTAAGTTAAATGGTAGGAAACGATAAATAATTTTTTAAATGAATGTCAAATTTATAACATGGACAAATATAGCATTTTCCAGCCTAAGTCTTACAATTAGGTATTTGAAACCAAACCATCACTATTTAAAGTACAGAGAGAAAACAGCTTAAGAGCGTATAAAGAATGCAAAAGAAAAAGAAAAATCACGCACCACTCCATACGTTTCATGGTTGTTGCTCAATCAGGGATGATTCTGAGTCCCAGTGCTGTAGGTCTTTGCTCTACAGTGGGGTACCAGTACCAAGAGTAAAAATCGTTAATTCAGTACTTTTCCCAGTTCTCACAGATCCAGCAGATCATTCCTTGGCTCAGGAAAACTACTTTTAAAGAGTGTAGACATTCTCTAGGGGCCTTTAGGGTAGGACAGACTGCCTGCTGTTGTGATCATAACTGTTATCTTAATGTCCTGGGGCGCACTCAGAGGAAGGATGAAGTATCTGCTGTGGAACACACTTCCCACTGAAATTCGGCTGGCACCCTCGCTGGGTGTGTTCAAAAACCAACTAAAAACATGGTTATTCAGACAGGCCTTCCCCCCAGTCACCTAAGTTCCTTCCCCTTTTTTTCTGGTTCTTAATGTTGCCATCTTGGATAATATTAATTATAATAATTATGTTAGTTATTTTTCTACATTGTTTTAATGTGTTTTAATGTTTGTAAGCCGCCCCGAGTAGACGTTGTCTAGAGGGGCGGGGGAGAAATTGAATAAATAAATAAATAAATAAATAAATCTTCCCCTCCTTTTCTGTCTCTCCTTCTATGGGGACCAGATGAAAGCTGAGTTTGTTTGTTTCATTAGTAACCGATATATCACTTCATTGGTTTTACACCAAAGTGAAACAGTGGTGGATTATAAAGAAAGGGGAGGATTTTTTTTTTAAAAGGCCACCCTCTGCAGTCTACTTTGTCACCCCTTTTGCAGGGAGCAGGAGAATGTTTGGTTTTTGTTTTTATTTCTTGAAAAGTAACACACCATTTCATTGGCTTGCTACCCAAGTGACATAGCACTGAATTGTTGTGGAATACGCCTACAAATGTCACTTTGGCCCAGTACTGGTGACTGCACATTTCGGAAACCAGACTAAAACAGTGATCCTACCCACACTAAAAAAACAAAACAAAACAGTAGCCCTTCCCAGCAACCCAGAAAGACGTAGGTAAGCATAGATAAGGGTTAGGCTGGTTTGTGACAGCATGTATGTTATGCAGTTGCCAGAAAATGGAGTGAACAGCCTGTTCAAGCAATTCAAAACACATGGTAGAACAACATCACTTACACCCTAAGTGTGCTAAAGACTATTTGTAGTTTTATATACGTATTTCTAAGAAGACTCAAATACAATGGCAGTTCACACACACACACACCCCCGCTTGATTGTTTTTAGTTCACATCTGATTGCTAATTCCTGAAGGAAATTCAGTCATACAGGACTCTTGCCTGATCATATTTTTGGTGGTAGTGAAACTCAGCTCTCCAATCTGGTCGTGGGGGACATGGGCCCCCACCATTCATGCTGTGGTGTCCATGAATTAGTATGTTTAGAATTGCAGCCTAGGGTTATATGTATGGCATGTCCTGGTATATTTTTGAAAATCTGTTCCTAAACTGGAATTCACAATTGTTTGGTCATAATAATGGCTAGTTTTATTGCTCTTATTTATACAACAAATTGTTGGTTTGTGTGTGTGTGCATTGCACATTCTGGCATATATACATTACTTTCCTTCCTAATAATCCTGGTCACTTGAGAAACTGAAGCTGAGATTGAGATTGCAATCTTATGCTTATTTACTTGGCAAAAACCCATACTAAATGCAAGGGAATTTAACTTCTAAATAATGTGAATAGATCTGGGCTGTAAGTAAGTTAACCAGTTTTACACAATAAACTGATGGAGTAGTCTAATCTGACACCTCTAGTAAATCACTAGTAGCTCACTTTGTTTGCAGATATTACAAAAAGTGCAGCTGTCTGATGTCAAATGGTACAATAATTTTATATATGTGTATTTTCAGATTGCCGGTTACATATCTGTCTATATTACCATGAAACTCTTGTAAAAGAAGTTACAACTTCAAGTCCTGAGGGCTGTAGGATATCTCATGGTCAAAATTATGAGGTCAGCTGCCTGGATCAAGTTCTGTTCCCTTATCCGGAAGATCACAGTCAGAGAAAAACCATAGAAAAAATGTTAAATCACCTGGAAAGAGGAGTAATACTCTGGATGACATCCGATGGGCTCTATGCTAAGAGACTTTGCCAAAGCAGGATCTACTGGGATGGTCCTCTGGCCCTTTGCAGTGACAGGCCTAATAAACTGGAACGGGAGCAGACATGCAAACTTTTTGATACTCAGCAGTTTTTATCAGGTAAATGTTCAACATCTGCTACAATAATAGATGCATTTTTTTATCTTTCCTAATATTAAAGCTTTATTTTGTCCTTGTTATACAAGTGGGTTTTCATGGAGTTGGATTCTTGGTTTTATTCTGTCATTGTCTCATAAAATTGAATTAGGAATGTCAAGAAATCTTAGTGATGTCTCATTTCTAGCAGAGACAGGCCACATGGACAGGGTGAGGCAGCTTGTCAAGGATTCTCAACCCCTTGTAAGAGCTCTTCCTTCCAGGATCAGAGCAAGCCAACATGTTTCCCCCTCCCCCTGTAATATTTTTGGTATTTTGCACAAAGCACAGAAGTGCAGAACTAGTGACTTCTCCTTAAGCATGCATATGAACTTACAGTGCTTTCTGACAATTGTCATTTTACTAAAACACAATTATGTGTTTTAGTAATGCTTTTACAAATGCTTTTACCTCTCCATTATTGACCAAGAAAAAGCTTGGTGTAGTATGGGAGCAGTCCTTTCCCCTGCACCCACCACTTTCTTCTTTACTGTGTGAGGACAAGCCAGGTAAAGATTTACATCTCTAATTAAGATGAAAAATTATTTAAGCAACAAAAAATATCTGCTGCTGCTATTTACTTTGAAGAGGTTGGCATCACTTGTTCTCCCATTGATGGCTAACAATGCTCCTGAAGCATTCTTTTGCTTGCTGTTCCTGAAGGTTCTTTTCACTGAATTTCCAAGTGCCTCTTCAAAGGCTCTTTCCTGATCTGTCCATTTCTTGCACTAATATATGTGACTTTTGGCATATGCAAATGATCAGATAGCTACATGAGATACTGTTTTGCTATGAGTATAACTTTGTTATTAAGATTTTTCATCTTGATCACTGCTTACTCAAAGCCCACTTCTGAATCTCAACCAGCAAATTCCAAAGTTGAATATTTAGAACAGATGATTAAGTGCTGTATTTTTCCCCTTTTGAGATGCAACTCCCACTTTATAGATTCTTTGAGTCCCCCATTCCAGAAACAGAAGAGTTTTATAAGCAATTCTTATAAATCCCCAGTTGTACAATTTTGAATACTTTTTATACAAAAAAGTTTGTGGGAGACTGGTAATTGCTTCTCCATATTTATGTTAAGAAGTTTCTTTCCTGGCTTACTGGATCATATTTGAAAGTTAGCTTCAATGTATTCCAACTTATGGTGAATAATACAGGTAATTCCTTGTGGCACATATGTAATCACTCACTAAGCCTTCTGCCAAGGGGAGAGAAATTTTCACCCCTCTGCTTATGTACTTTATCAAAAAGTTATTTTATTGTATTTCTTCAAAATATTTTTCATCTGACTTTCTCCTTAAAAAGGACTCAAGGTAGCTTATATCATTAAAAGACAATATTTAAAGCGAAATATAGTAAGTATACAAAAGCTAAAAAGAATCAAGCAAATACCACACTGAAAGATGGAAAACAAAAATAACACCAAAAACAAGTTCATAGCAGTAAGGCACACCTATCTATTAAAAAAAAACACCATTCAGGCATTCAGTCAGTTAAGAGAAAGCTTGCCTGAAGAGAAAGGTCTTTGCTTGCTTGCAGAAGGACTGCAAAGATGAGGCCAGCCTAGCCTCCGGTGGGAGGAAGTTGCAAAATCTGGGAGCAGCAACAGAGAAAGCCCTCTCTTGTGTCCCCACCAAATGTGCCTGTGGGGGTGATGGGACTGAGAGAAAGGCCTCTCCTGATTATCTTAACACCTGGGCAAGCTCATAAAGGGAGATATGGTCCTTGAGACAGTTTGGACCCAAACTGTTTAGGGCTTTATAAATGGGAACCAGTGCTTTGATTTGTGCCCGGAAATGGATCACCAACCAACGGAACTGTTGTAATAGGGGACATATGTGATCTGCCCCAGTTAGCAATCTGGCTGCTGCATTTTAGACCTGCTGAAGTTACCAGTTCCTTACCAAAGGCAGCCCCACATAGAGTGCATTACAGTAATCTAGCCTAAGGCATGTGTCACTATGGCCAGCTCAAACCTTTCCAGGAATGGGTGCAGCTGGAGCACTAGTTATAATTATGCAAAAAGATTCCTAATCACCTCCAGAACCTGGGTATCTAGGGTCAGAGACAGATCCAGGAGCAGCCCCAAGCTGTGTGCCTGTTTTTTCAGAGGGGCTGTAACCTCATCCAGCACAGGCTGAAATCCTATTCCTTGATCTGCCTTTCAGCTGACCAGCAGCACCTCTGCCTTGTCTGGATTAAGTTTCAGTTTGTTCACTCTTGTCCACTCCATTACTGACATCAGACACTGGTCTAGAGCCATAACAGCTTTCTCAGATTTCGATGGCAAAGGGAGACAAAGTTGGGTGTCATCATCATACTGAACCATAAAACAGCAAATATATATATACAAAGTTGGGTGTCATCATCATACTGAACTATAAAACACTGGACAACTTATCCCAGTAGTTTCATGTAGATGTTACAGATGTCTAGTTTACCATGGTAGTCATGTGTGCACTGTGGCAATGTTCCGAGTGGTACAAAGTTGGGTGTCATCATCATACTGAACCATAAAACAGCAAATATATATATGCGCTACTACACTGTCCCACATTAAATATCTAATGCATTGTACACACCAGTCATAGTGACTTCTCAGCACTTGCTTCATAAGGCTATTCTTTGGAATTGTTGCTTTTTATTCTTGTAACTAGTGAGTTTTTAGCTCAAGGCTTCTGTGACATCACAACAGCTAAGCCAATGGCTGGGAGGCCTATGTTTACCTCAGACATTGCCCTTCTAAGTTCCACTGCTTTGGAGGAGCGAGGGGCAAGAGTCATCTATAATACATACAGTGAACTGAAACTATATTAGGGCCTGGGATGGTTACAAATGATAATGATTTTAATTTAGATATTTTGACTGAAATCTTGTTGTACAAACAGCGTAACTTTTAGACATGAACAGCTATAAGTTAAGAAATCTCCATAGGCATTTTCTGTTTCATTCCAAGCCAGTATGCAACAGATAATGTCTATGGAGATTTCTTAACTTCCATCAAATCACATCTAAAAGTTATGATGTTGGCATAACTTCAAAATAGGATTTCAGCTATATTGTCGTTATAGCCTGGAGATCTGGATTCAAGTCCCAACTCTGTTGAGCAGTGCAAAAGCCATAGTAGAATGAAAGTTCAGTATGAATCAAGAATGTTTCAGCTAATTCTGAAGTGATGTTAAGTGCATGAAATTACACACAAGGAATTTATTTGAACAAACAGAGGTCCATACTGTATATAAGCCAAGTTTTGTAGATTGAACGGAATTTACAAATATTATTTTCTTCTGTTTTCATAATTATTCTTTGCTTGCTTGTCTCTAGTCACATTGACCTTTGTTCTAACTACTCTTTTTAAATTTTTTCATTTTGACTAAAATTACAAATGATTCGAATAAGTGGTTCTCATCTAAAACACAACAGCTGCATGTGTCATTCCTTCTTTTCATCTGAAATGTTTAGTAAAATCTACCTTCTGCTGTTGATATCATAATGTTGTTCATTTCCTGATTGGCTGCTACTGGGAAGTGTATGAAATCTAGATGTGAGACTAAATTTTACTAAACTTTAGAGGAGATGTTGAATCCATGAACGAGAGTTGGTGAAAGACTAGTTAAGGGACAGGAAAGTAAAGTTGAATCCTGACAAGAGAAAGGCACAATGGTTGATTTGGGTTCTGCAGGCATGGCATTCAACTTGTTCTGGAGTAAGGTTCAATCTATCTGAAAGACATGTTTTCATTCTGTGGATGTTCCTGCATTCAGCTTTGTAACTCAAAGGTTAGCTGGCCATGTAGGCATGGAGCATCTCTTGCCAGGTCTGACAATTCTAAACCTTCAGCTATTATATAATTACATAATTCAAGGTTGGATTACTAACATATGCTATACTCAAGGCTGCACTGATAATTAATTAGAGACTTTATTCTCATGTAACCCCTTCATTGTTTTATGAGCTGCAGGACAGAAGGAGAGGAAGTCTTTGATTAATAAAAATTGCCATCACCAGGATGGCTTTGCTGTTGGAGGTGATTTCCCCCCCCCACCATACAATCTATTGATCAGTAATATACAATGACTTTTTATTTTTATTTCTTGTTTTATAATTACTCTCTTTCCTAGCTCTAGAATTTAGGTATATAGTACAGCTTGAACATTTTCTGTTTGCTTTCCAGAATTACAAGCGTTTGCTCACCACGGGCGGCCATTGCCTCGATTCCAAATTGTGTTATGTTTTGGAGAGGAGTTTCCAGATCCGCAAAGACAGAGGAAACAAATTACAGCCCATGTAAGTATATTTGGTTTAGTTAAAACTAGGGACGTAACAAAAATATTAGTCTTCATGTACCAGAATTTTGTTGAGGAGGGGAAGAGGAATGACACATTACACTGAATGAACACTGAGGTTAGCATTGTGTTTAGATTTATGGGTGGGGGTTTTGGGTACACTACATGATTTTCCCAAATCTGAGAATTCTAGTGTCCTTTCCCTCTCTCTCCACACCCACATGGGGTGTGCTTGTGAACCTCTGATGAACAGCATTATAGTTTGCTGAAAAACAGCATGGGGTTTATATATCTCCCATTACATTAGATGGGACATAAAAGTCATATCATACTACAGTGGAAACATGCAACAAATTTGCTGGCAATTTTTCAAAGGTGTTTTTCACCTGTGAAGCAAAGCTCAACAATTGGACATGGGAAAGGGCTGAAACTTGGTTAAATTGCTTAAAACCCTTCAGATGACAATCTGATATAAGCCAATTGCAATGTGATACAATGCCAACCTGGCAGGAACTGTGTGGATTCTGCAAAAAAATGTAACATTTCGGGATTAAAATGTCCCCTTCTAGTGCATGAGGTTTAAACAAATAGCCAGTGTGAAAATACAGAGCTGAGAGAAGCAAGTTAATACATTTGTATCGTAAAAGAAAAAAAGTTAACATTTACACTTAATGAAATTGACATTTGTAGGACTGAAATGAACTGGGAACTTCATGCTGTCAGGTGCCTTCAAGTTACCTCTGACATATACTGGCCCCATGAATGAGAAATCTCCAAAATGTCTTATACGGTACTCATCTTGTAAAGTCCAGCCTGTGGCTTCTTTTAGGCCAGTGGCTTCCAACCTTGTGTCCTCAGATGTTCTTGAACTAAAACTCCCAGAAACCTTCATCGCTAGATGTGCTGACCAGGATTTCTGGAAGTTGTAGTTCAACAACACCTGCGGACACAAGGGGGAGCAATCCATCTTTGGTCTTCCTTTTTTTCCTGCTGGCTTCAACTTTTCCTAGCATTATTGTCTTTTCTAGAGAATCTTGCCTTCTCATGAGGTGTACAAAGTAGGACTGTCACAGTTTCATCATTTTTGCCTCCAGAGATAGTTGAGGCTTGATTTGTTCTAGGATCCGCTTGTTCATCTTTCAGGCAATCCAGGGTATCCACAAAGCTCTTTTCCAGCAGCATATTTCAAACAAATTATTTTTTCCTTTCAGCTTTCTTTATTGTCATGTTTTCAGATCCATATATGACAATTGGGAAAATAAGAGTGTGGATTATCTTGCTTCTGGTCTCCAGTGACACATTCTTACACTTGATGATCTTTTCAAATTCCTTCATTGCTGCCCTTCTGTGTCTGTCTTCTGATTTTTTGGTGGTAATCTCCCTTCAGATTGAGGACTGAACAAACATAGGCGTGTCAGGTGAGGACACAAGAGAGGGGTTTCTCAGTGCCTGGATCCCCTTTCACATATAGGTAGGCTGGCCCACTCTATTTGTAAATTATGTTGACAGACAACATGTGAGACCCATTTCTGAGCAATTCACATTTACAACTTCATTTTTGGCTTACCATTCTAATTTTATTAGAAATCAGTGTTCATTTCGGAATGACTAATAAGCTAATAAAACGGTAATAATAAATGATTATTTTGAATACTGATTTTTTAAAATTAATTTTTATTCATTTTCAATTGGGATAGGATTTGGGGATAGGGGGCTGGGGAGTGGATATGGGTAGGGGAAGGGTAAAATTCCAGAGAGTACAAGGATATGTTTACATCAACTTATACAATTCTACTAGAATAAAAACATAACAAAAAAGAACAATGTATCAGTTTTTACTAGAATGACTATAGTTACTCATTTCTTCATTCCCTAATTGGACCTTCACATTCTTCTTTTATCTATGCTTTCAAGTCCATATTTCAAGTCCAACTATAAAATCATTCCAAATTTCTATGTCCTTTTAAAGATAACTGTGTTTCTGTTTTCTTCCAGTGTTTCCCATATTATAGCTACTATAATTAAATGTATTATCAAATGTTTCATTTCTGTATCTACATACATTATCAAATGTTTCATTTCTTTATCTACATACCTGATACTCAATTAACACAATTCCAGTTTAAGTGATATCTCACAAAATACAATTTTTCCCAACATTTCAACATTTCATATACTAATCTGCAATAATCTACAATAATTTTCTGCTTCCCTACTTGTCCACCCAATATGGTTGAAAGTACTCTACTGTATTTTATATTTCCAATACTTATTAAAACACATTTCATAAAGTGGTTCTTTATTTTCATACTATAAGTTCTGAAGACAGATAGTGTCCAATTTTTATTTTTTTATATTTGTTCATAAATTATTTTACATCTGATGTTATTCTATTCTTTTCGTATGAGTTTCTTGGAGGCTCATTTTATCCATCTTTGTTATTAAGGTTTTCTTTATTCTTCTTAGGTCTTCTTTTTTTCATCATGGGCTTTCCTTTGGTGCTTCCCCTTTTGGTTTTCTACCTGAAATTTTGAACTTCCTTTTGAGTTCCATCCTAATGATCTACTTGATTTCTCCTCTTCCTGTTTCTTATCTATCTTTTTCTTTTCTTTCCTACCCAGCCATTCCCCCCTTTTTTTCCATAAAGGCTTATGCCTTCATTTTTGAATTAATAGAATATCCCTGCATCTGGAATTGGAAAGAGACACCTTCAGGTATCAACCACTTATATGTACAGTGGTGCCTCGCTTAGCGATCACTCCGCTGAGCGATGAAATCGCTTTGCGATGGACTTTTGGCCATCGCTGGAGCGATCACTTAGCAATGTCTTCTACGGCTAAAATTCGCTTTGCGATGATCGTGGGGAAGCTATCATGGCAAAGCTAACTTTTTAAAACAGCTGATCAGCATTTCCAAAATGGCCACCGCAAAAACAAAATGGCTGCCGCTGTTTTGCCTCGCTGTAGAGGCACCCAAAATGGCCACCGCTATGGAGGAATTTTGCTTTAAGGTAAGTTTTTAGCCCATAGGAACATATTAAACATGTTTTAATACGTTCCTATGGGCTTTTTAAAATCGCTTAGCGATTAAATCACTTAGCGATGTTTTTCCCGGAACGGATTAACATCGCTAAGTGAGGCACCACTGTAACTGAATTTGTTCTCAGGAAATCTGTCAGCTCTGCATATTGTCTCCTTTTCTGTCTTATTTGCCACAGAATATGTTTCAAAATCTTAATCTCTTTTCCTTTTATAGTGGATCCTTTATCTTGCAGATTTCTTATCACCTGTTCTCGAAATGCCATTCTCATGAATTTAACATGAATTTCTCTGGGGAATTTATTATTCCTGGTGTATTAATTCTTTGTGCTGTATCTATATTTTGTTGTACATCTTCTGGTCACATCTCCATAATTGGGGTTAAACTGTAGTTACCAATTGCACTGTGTCATCACCTTTTTGTTCTGGAAGATTCTGGAATCAGAGTATGAGGTTGGCTCCATTTGTAACTTTACGTTGATTTCATTTTTCTTTCATGTTGCATCACTACCAGCTCTGTATTCATAATCTCCATTTTTTTCTCTCTCTTTTTGAGGTTTCTTGTATTTTAGCTATTTTTTTTAAATTTTCTATAATTTAGTGTTTGGCATCAGTCATTTGTGACCCTAAATCTTTAATTTGTTCAGATTGTGAGCCATTCCTCCTTGTATCTGCTGTAATCCTGTGGATAACGTATTTTGAATGCTCTGTTGCCAATCCTTAAGTGTTTCTTGCCCCAATAATTTCAGATTTTGTTCCTGCATAGATGACCCTCCTTTCCCCCCTTCACTGTCCTTTCCCCCCTTCGCTGTCATCTTCCAAATTTCTTAAAGATGCTGTCTGGTTTCTTTCCAGCAGATGTTGCTGCTGCCCTACCTTTCATTCAAACAACACTGTTTACATTGCCCATCCAAAACATAGGTCAGTGTCTCCCCCCTCTCTCGTCAAAATCTAGATCCTCCAAACAAAGCTGCTACATGCTACAGGGGGGAGGGTCATCACAGGTTATACATATAATGTTACAGAGATGGCTCAAAGCATTTTGCAAAGCAGGATGTGCCTCCCCCGACAGCCCAGTCAAGTTGCCTAATCCCCAAATCAGCCAAGTTATTTTGGCAAGGTAGGGCACAATCTCACAGTTATCTTTCCTCATTCCTAGAAATAAAAATACAATAACAAGACCTTAATAGCTAAACATTTGCTCCCTTTTCATCACAGTCAAAAATCTACCCAGAAACAGCTGTCTAACCTTGCTACATGATAAAAGTTGTCATGTAGCTTTTACCGTAAAGGGATAATAGAAGCATCATTCCTGCTTTCAAAATGCTACCCTCCTACTGTGGACCATGCTTTCAAAATGCTACCCTCCTACTGTGTACCACATGTCCTTCCTTCCTTCCTTCCTTCCTTCCTTCCTTCGTTAGGAAAGTGATATGTCAATTTTATGTGCAAGCAATCCTTTGTAATTCAGAAACTAGAGCATTACTTAGCTATTATCCTAAATCCAAGTACTTTACAATGTTAGGCTTAGATATTCTAAAGTAAACTTTTAACTCCACAACTAAGGGGTTGGCTACATGTCATAATACTCCTATTTTTGCATCAGGTTTAGCACACTTGAAATCAGTTTAAAAATATCCACCTACACAATGCACAACTAAGCACACTTTTGTTGTTGTTTAGAAAATGACTTTTAAAAACACCCACAAGAGGGTTGTTTATTTTAAATTGATTCTGATCACAATATCATTTTGGCACGTGTGCTCACCCGTGTTGGAGCAAATTGCATTTGCAGAGTTTGTCAAGTATTAGATGCCAGGATCACAGGTTCCAGGCTGAAGGATACCCTGCAGCCTGAACTCTTATATTGGTTCCTATCTGTTTCTGTTTTAGCACTGTATCATTTAAGAGCTGGAAACTGCTGCCAGCTGCCTGGCTGGTGATTTACCATATCTTCTTGTACTTTACTTGTCACTTACACTTCAAAAATCGATGTGCCTTTCCCATGTGAGCAGTTCACAAACTGGGAAATAATATTTCAATCTCTTTATTCTTCTTTATGTAGAACATACTAGTGTTATCTGACTCCATTGCTTTGTAGCATGGATGTGCAACAGTTATATGTATTTAGGAATGCCACCCATAGAATCTGTGACAGCCTGTGGTTTGAGGGGTGGTGGGGTGCTTCATCCTGGAGTGGCCGGATGAGCCTCCCTGGTTTAACTATGGGCTACTTGTGCCTACAACTGAGAAAACATACATTGGATAGCATTAATGGGCCGTAATGGGTAAATCATGTACATTTTAGATACAAGTATGTACAGGGTGCCTACAAGAGCCAAGTGCTAACATGTGCATATAGCAATTCCAATGCCCATGGTTGCAGGCATGTGTAGTGCTATGAACATGAAATTAAGTGGCTTTATGCTTGATAGTGCAAACGTATGCAGTTTTTCTCAGAAGTGAGTCCTGTTGACTTCGGTGAAATCTGCAGCTGCATGTTAAAACACAAAGCAAAATTCATTTGTGTTTCATCCAGTGGGACGAGAGGACAGTCTCTTGCTTCTGGGAGTACATTTATATACCTCCTTGTGTATATGTACAGTATATAACTGCAAACACTTTTTTGCCCCACATTCTCCCACTCATCCTTGGCTCCTCATGTCCTGCTCTGCCTTCCATCCCACCATCAACAGTCAAGACCAGCCACCACTGAGCAAGACTATTTGAATAGGAAAGCATATTTTAGAAAATTCCTGTGTGGATAGGTGGAACTATACTCTGTTGTTTTGTCATGTTCCTAATCTTTGTTTCCTGATTCCTCAGGATGAGTGAAAATTTGCCATGTTTCCTATTAACCTTTTTATCTTTTGTTAAGGTTGAGCCAATGTTTGCAAGGCAGCTGTACTACTTTGCACAACAAAACACTGGACCTTTTCTAAGAGGTTATGATATGTCAGAACAAGTTGCCAGTGCAGAAGAATATCACAGATCTATCCACCATTCATCTGTTCAAGAATAAGCACATGAACTTTGGGGCTTGAAGTGTTGTTGTGAAAGCTGAGCATCATACAAGAATAACTGGATCACAAATAAGAGATGTAAATCAATGCTTGGATTTTTCCAGAAGGTGAAAAAAGCTACTCAAGGACTGGATATGGGCAAGCCTAATAATACAGTAGAATGAGTAGCTGCTCTCCGCCCACATTTTTTGGATTGCTATACCTCAGATTCTGCTGCTGGGGCTAGTTGTGAAAATGGATGAAATATACTGTATGTTTACATGTTCTTAAATGAGGACAGTGTCTCGCGGACAGTTTGAACTTAAGAGTCCTAATTATTTATTTGATTAGAAATCTCAGGGCAGGAATTCCTAGACTGATGCAGCAGTTTACATGCTACAGGGTGGCACTCAGAAATGCATGTGATAAATTGAAAATATATTATTTTGAAAATATTATGACTATGGGAATTTAAGGTTTAGGTAGTGAATGTTGCTGTGTAAAGGTTTTTTTCTTTCTTAAAACAAATTTAATTCCTGACATTTTTCTAATAGATTTTAAAATATATTGTTGCTGCTGTTGCCACACAGAAAATAAGCATGCATAGCCCATTCTACAGGTATAATTGAGCTAATAATTCCTGATAAAAATACTACATTCTTATACAATACTGTATTATTTATTCAATAGATACAATTTATTTCATGTTAAATTCAATAAGCAATCAAAGCCTCTCTATAAAACAGTGAGGTTATGGCTGCAAGCCTAGACACACTTTCCTGGGAGTAAATCATAATTACTTAAATGGAGCTCAGTTTTGAGTACACATGTATAGGATTGCACAGATATCTTCAAGAACATAACCAAAGAGTGAAACACATTGTTTATGGAGGGATCGAGAATGATCTGTGTAAAGCTATATTTAAGAAGTTATTAACCCACTTACAAATCTACAGCAGTTGAACAATCAAAATGGTGTTTGGAATAACTTACAACTGACTTCATTGTGAGAATTATATCTTTTGTGTGATAATATTGACAATTATGGGTCCTAGTGCAGGACGTAGTTAAGTGGACTTAAGTAGCTTTCTGCTTGATTGTGACTATGAGTGATTTATAGTACATTTTTACTAAAAAGTAAAGGAGGAATTTAGGGTCTAGGTATTTGGTCGGACACAGTCATATATAACAGAGGACAATGGTGAAGTTACTTATAAAAGTACCAAAGCAGACTTCTCTTTCCTGTGTAGAAATATATATATTTTCTTCTTAGTTAAATGTGTGTTATACTTGAATTTCTAATCAGGGACTCATATACATTTGTACAATCAGCACTAGACTTTTGAATTTGTGCATCTTAAAGAGGCACATTGCCTTGGGATATAATACCAATTCCCCTAACCCCAGACAATGGGGTTCCTGTGGTTGTTCTTCATCACTTAGCACATTTTTCATGACACAGACCGCAGTTACTTACTAGGGCCTAAGTTACACTGGATGCAGTTGGATTTACATCTGAATGAGTAAAGTTAGCAGCCTTACTTTTCTTAAAGTTGGGGGTGGGGGAGGACCAACATTGCAGTTTTGTTATTCTTATGCCTTATTTTCAGGTATGCACATGTGTGTTGTTATTGCTCAGTTTAGAAATAATACACACATTCGTTACATGCATGTATGACCCTCACTTGCTTTTGGTTGTCTATGTTAAATAATCATATCACAGAATAATATTCATTATGCCAAAAAGGAAATGAGCTTGTTGGTTTTTGTTCTTAAAGGCTTTGTGATGGTACCTACCTCCTACAAGGAAGAGTACAAGAGAGCTATATGGGCAGCATATACTGGTCAAAAATCTGTGCTATTTTAAAGGACAATGGGCTGTTTGCCTTAAGTAGGAGAGGAGGACAAGAAACTCAGTTAACTCACTGGTTAATTTCTCTGTCAAAGACTATTGAAGGCAATAGGGTACTTAAACTACTATACGCTAAGAGAAAAAAACAAAACAACAGTCTCAATTTGTAAGGTATGTTTGTATCCCAAGGCACTCCTTAGGCAGTAAAAGGTTACTGGCAGTCCAATTATGCTTTGTGTATTTTAAGAAAGAAGGGAATGCTTTTGCTCCTCATATGTATATCCTACTTGAACTTTTTAAATTGGCTATGTTTTGTACCCTGCTTTCTGAAATCATCCCGTTTTTAGTGTTATGAGGAAACCAAACATATCAACTAAATAGGACAAGTTACATAACTGTGAGAAGGACAACAGATAGGAATGGCATTATCAGAACAGCTGTGTAGCAATCCAGCCAATATGAAGCATTTATTATTTTAATGAGAGAATTAAGTGCAGACAATGTTATGCTGGTATGTATATAACAAAGCCCCAATATTTATTATGTGTGTTTTTTTAATGCAAAAGAGCTTTTAAAGCCACAATATTTCTCTCTCTCTCTCTCTCTCTCTCTCTCTCTCTCTGGGAGAAAGAAAAGAGTGAGCGAGCGAGCAAGCCTACATTTCCGGATACATTTCATGCTGACCATTTCCCACTTGAATCCTTTTCTCAGCTGTTTCCACTTGGGGCACTCCACATGTTTGCTCATGGATTAATCCACATGTGGAACACTGGGGGATATAAAAGTTGCTGGAGAGATTTAGGTGGGAATATACTGTATATAGGTATAAATAGGAAAGAGTTAATCATTTAACACCACTCAAAACTGCAGCCTCCCTCCTTGTCATTTTTTAAAAAGCTTTGCTACAAGATATTCCTATATAATATGTAACAGACATTTGCCCTTCAGCACAAGCAATTTTTTCTCTAAATAAGACATCAAAAATTAAATTTGGTTGGAACATGTCTTCTGTATTAATCTGAGATGTGACATAACAAGTTCTAAGTGAATTTTCTTTGAATAAAGTTCCATAAACCTTACTGAAACTGAATTCTGAAAAATTGTGTTTAGAATCATAGATATGATTATCTTTTTTTTTACTTTGACATAAGTTCAAATATATTCAATGGGACTTTCTCCCAGGTAGGTGTGCATAGGTAAATACAGTAAGAATTATTTCTGAAAACATCAGGCTTGTCATGTTATGGTCTAACTCCATTCCAGCTGTTACCTGATTGGCAAACTTTCTGCTCACTACAGGCATCAGTCAAAGAAAAAACCCATTTCAGGACTTGTGATATTCAAGGCATCATGTTAAATAATAATAATAATAATTTTTAAAAGTCAGTGGATGTAAAAGAGGGTGCTTTCAAAATACCTGTATTGAAGGATCTTTCTGTTTCTAATCTGTAAAATAGCTCTAAGATTCTTGTCTGTGAGGCCATTAATTGCTTTTGCCATGGGGTACTTTTGTCAGGGATTTTTCTCTGTGTTATAAACTAATAGGGTAGCTTTCAATAGGACTGCTTTTTAAAAAAACACACATAGCAGAGGCCTATCTGCAGTATGTAAGGCCAGTGCATATGTGGAAGTGAAGGATCAGTGTTTTTTGTGTCCCTCCCATAATTACCAACACACACATATTAAAAAACAAAGGGATGCCATACAGCTGACGTGTTGAGCACAGTCTGCTTTGATCAGTAAGTTGCAATAGGTCAGCCTACATTGTAATGAGTATCTCATTTTGCATAAGTGCATCATTGAATTGAATTAAAAATTAATGAGAGTATGATCCAGCCTAAATTAAAGACTTTTCATTCCCTTTCATTTAAGGTGAAAAAAGTTATGCAGGTGGTGTTTTGATTTCAATAAAAAATGTTAAGCACATGCTTAGCATTTTCTATTGAAGTCAATAAGATTTAAAAGTGCTTACACTGCCTGGAAAAGTGGTGTGATTACATGAAACAGATGCTGCAACAATTTTAGTTGGCATTTTGGAGGACAGGTCATGAGGATCATACTTTGGCTGTGTACCATTGATGTAGAGGTTTGTATTAAACGTGTCTAATCTCCTAGGGCGGCTTCTTGTGTTATAAAATTCCTACAAATTTAAGATCTTCATTTTAGACCATCTGTTAAAAAAACAGAGCTGTTAGAAAATAGAGCTGCAGATCTTGATTGAATTATTTCTGCTTAAATACCTGTACAAGGTGGCAGATAAAAAATTAGACTGTCCAACAGGAAGAATAAACATGAGTACAAATGTGAACAGGATATTGAATAGGCTCATTGTGTATTAACAGTTGAGAAAATGGCCCTGTCAAGTCAGTTTTGTGATACTTGTTATTGACAGATCAATATACTGGTATAAAAATGACTACCTTCCTTGGTTGTTCCTGTGGAAAGACCATAAACAAATGAAAATAAAACTGGAAATGTTTGTTAACAAATAACTGTAAATGTGCCACAAATTGTAAATAGTTTTAAAAACAAGATTTATATGTCACTGTTTTTATTGCTTGAAACACAAGATTGATAAATAAAGTGATATATTTCTATCCATTCCCCCTCAATGTTTTAAATAATGCTAAAGGTCTTCAAAAGTGTCTGAAATGTTTCTGTTTGAAAGCCTGGTGTTTTTAAAGATCTGTTTTATTCCTACTACTGAACTTCTGTCTCAAGGGTTTTACTCTCAAATATTTCATGAAATTTTAATGGAAACTAAGAAATGTTTCAAATAGTATCTCTAGATATAGGAAAGTCCCATAGAGTGGTCGTATTGACCAGATAGGCGGGGTATAAATAAATAAAATCAATAAAATAAATAAATACAATTCTAGTATGTTACAATATCCACACAGATGATATAATAATAGTGGTGTGTTGTCAAGTCAATGTTGACAGATACTAACCCTGCCAAGGATTTTCTAGGTATGAAGTACTGTACGTAGAGGTGGTTTACTAGTCTGTCCTTCAGGCAGCATTTTGGAACTATGCAGCTGACACAGATCCACACAGGTGAGGTCTACACATAACAAACCTCATCACCCACACATTTGGGTTAATTTCATCTGGTCCTTCTCCTGGGAGGCACAATGGAAATTTGAACTCCTAGCCACACGATCCTACCCTCTGAACTATACCAGATCAAATGTTCTGTTAAAATTTCTGCAAATATTAACAAGCTGTCTGAATGTATGTAGCTTTTGCTGAAAAGGAGCCTAATTTAATGTTCTCTTAGTGTCCCTAATTCACCTAGTAAAGTAGACTAGGCATCTTAACAGTGGCTCTTTTCCTCATTATGAACTTGAACAGGGGCTTCAAGTGACCCAAGTATTAGCCAGCTCTGTGGAAAGAAACAATCAACTCATTTGACCTTTCCGAGGGTTAGACATACTGTATTTTAATGTCAGCATTACTGGCATAAAGGTGGGGAAACACCATCGCATCTCATCATGCAGCTTTCAGGAAAAAGAAAGCTACTGCCTACAGATTACTAATTCAAGTTTTAGCCTTTACATAGAATAAATTTGAGCTTTCTTTTAAAAAAGACAAATCACCTCAATGTTATTGATTGCTGCACGTATTTGAAACGATGGGTTTTATACCCTTCAGATTGTTTCACCTTGATCCCATATAGTTTATTCAACCATGCTTTCCAGTTTTTTTCATATTGTTAGAATCTTTTTGGCTTAGTTTAGGTAGGTCAACCTCCAAACTGTTTTCTCAGAAGTCATATCCGCTGTGTTCCACTCTCTGTATTTAACAGTTTATTCCAAGATCATGGCTTTAACATGCAGCCCACTCCTCCATGCATAGGACTATACAGTATGGATGCAACTTTTGGCCCTTTCTTTATGTCATTTATGGGTTTGTAAGCAATAGGTTCACAGTCTTTTTTTACATGGAGATGATATCAATCTGCTCATCTAACATATTTGAATCACTTCTAAAATGTATGTCTCTTATACAGAGTGCAGAATAAAAGTTAAGACAATGACCAGAAGAAGATAATAGCAGTAAGGAAGAGAACAGATCCACAATCCTCAGTTTTTTAAATAAGTGCTTAGAAAGTTAATATTCTAAAATGAACTTCCGGAATCCACCAGCCAGCACTGATCAGTGCCCAAGCTGGCTAAGGGATTTAGCAGTTACTGTATAAACTTTAAAAAGTAACTTTTTCAAATGGTAGCTTATCTTACCCAACATTATTTTAGAGACAGAACTCATACGCTTTTCATAACTGTTCAGTTTGTTTTGGAAGACATGAGCATGTCATATTTTTAACTACAGGACATCAGTTGTAGGAAGGAGTCTGTTTTTCCTCACATTTCCACCCATTTTCAGCCTGTATCTCAGAACCCAAGATTATATGTCCAAACCTAAAATAGTTTTCTTCATTAGTCAGTATATATTTCCCCTTTTCATGCTTGATTAAGAACTTGATCACAGGTGTCACAATTTTCCCCACCCACTGATAGCCCCATAGAAACTAGGAAGACAGTAAAAGAAACTTTAAAAAATTCACAGTGTGCAGCTGACTATCAATGATTGCACAAAAGTGAGAACAAAGACAAAATAAATGGTCTAAATCAGTGGTCCCCAACCTTGGGCCTCCAGATGTTCTTGGACTTAAACTCCCAGAAGCCTTCACCACCACCTCTGCTGGCCAGGATTTCTGGGAGTTGAAGTCCAAGAACATCAGGAGGCCCAAGGTTGGAGACCACTGGTCTAAATAATTTGTCCTTATTCCTCTAGAGAAAGATTGAAACAGTTGCCTTGATCTTGCTGTTCAAGGAAGCAACACAAGAAGTAAAGGAGACACACAAGTTAAGGGGTTTTGTCCATCAAGGTAGACAA